GACCTACTGTATTGACAATGAGGCTCTCTATGATATCTGCTTCAGAACATTGAAGCTGACCACACCCACATACGGTGACCTCAACCATCTGGTGTCCGCTACCATGTCTGGAGTGACCACCTGTCTACGATTCCCTGGTCAACTGAATGCTGATCTCCGTAAACTAGCTGTCAACATGGTACCATTCCCACGTTTACATTTCTTTATGCCAGGTTTCGCCCCACTCACTTCTCGTGGTTCACAGCAGTACCGAGCCCTAACTGTCCCAGAACTCACACAACAGATGTTTGATGCCAAGAACATGATGGCTGCATGTGACCCTCGTCATGGTCGTTATCTGACAGTAGCGACCATGTTCAGGGGTCGTATGTCCATGAAGGAGGTCGATGAACAGATGTTGAATGTTCAGAATAAAAACAGCAGTTACTTTGTTGAATGGATTCCCAACAATGTCAAAACAGCTGTCTGTGATATTCCACCAAGAGGTCTAAAGATGTCAGGAACATTTATTGGTAACAGTACAGCCATCCAGGAACTGTTTAAGAGAATATCTGAACAATTTACAGCTATGTTCAGAAGAAAAGCTTTCCTCCATTGGTATACTGGTGAAGGTATGGATGAGATGGAATTTACAGAAGCCGAATCTAACATGAATGATCTGGTATCTGAATATCAACAATACCAGGATGCTACAGCTGAAGAAGAAGGAGAATTTGACGAAGAAGAAGGTGAAGGAGAAGAAGCGTAAATACAATATGTTTAAATGGCATGATACTAATTTATTTTAATCTGTTATATTTATTCTGAATTATATTTTTGTGTAAATTATTGAATAAATACATGTTAATACAAAACTTATCTTTTCTATACTAAAATACAAGAACAATCAGATATGTTAATATCCTATTCTGTTTCCTTTTGATACACCGTTTTTAATACATTGCATAACGAAAGGTTTTAACATGTCCCATATAAAACAATTGGGTCATTTGGAGACTAACATATAGTAATCTATATAAATACGTGTTCGGTGCGAGGAGTGGAATTTTGTTTGGGCGAATGTCTGCACGGGTGGACTTCTTTTTGCCATCCCGTCTAAACGTCTAGGCACCTTTTCCTTGACAACCCTAAAGGTGAGACCCCTGACTTTAAGGCTTGAAAAATCTCAAAGGTTCATCTTGGTTATCGCCTTGATTCGAACACGGAACATTCAAGTAAAGAGGCTATTGTCACACGGCACATGTGACAGATGCACGTAAAATTTATAAGGTTATAAGAAACAAATGTGTGCATGAAAATGTCTTGATTATATAACAATAGAATTACATTTTGGAAACCCAAATGTAAGAAATTCTAGTAAAGAGGCCATTGTCACAAGGCTAATCTGAATGAACGTTTACGAAGTGTACGAGGTATATTAAACACAGGAAACAAGATCTCAGCGATAGGAATATGTAGTTAATGATAAATAATAATAATATTTCTATTGGTCTGACAGGAGTGGCATATGTCATTTTTCGCTTTTCTTCAAGGGGAAATGATTCACATGTAGTTTGAATGCGCCTGTAGATATTGTTTTTCCAGATCTTTAACTATGTATTGCGGGTAAAGCTCTCCATACTGTAGACCACATTAACGTTATCCAAATTCCGAGCTTTGCTTCAACTATTTATATATAAATTTTCTCCAAACCCTCACCCTCACTCCCTTTCTTACCATTTGTCATTTTGCTTTTTTAGTTCCCAATCACCGAAGAAGCCGAAGTAAAATTGTGACTATAAATCGATTAGTTGTCCACATCCCAATATGAGACATTCGCAGCACTAAAACAAGTAATTATTTTGCTAATCGACTTTCAAACACTCCGATAACCTAGTCTTTATAACTACAAAGGGTTGAACATGTCTAAATCGGCTTCTCGTACGGACGCGAGAATCGTAAATCTGTGCTTTGAAAAGATTGTACATATCCTTGTGAATCTGAAAATATTGTATGAGGATATTTAGCAAGTGACTGTGACATGAGCAATCATTGTGATTATCAGTCACTGCGTTTGATTTCGTTTAAATTTCGTGTTTTGTATTTAAATGTCTAAAACTAAAGCTGTTGATGACGCAAGTAGTCAGCCGCAGGTTACCTGTAACGGCTCACCTGCTTTTGGGCGTTTCTTTGGACTGTCAATTATACCGATGCGCAGCTATAAATACAAATTTGAAAATTGTGTAAGTTTTTATACAGCCACAGTTTCACTTTAATTTGTGCCTCAATTTTTGCCCGTTTTAGATGTTGAGGATCAAAAGATCTTGGTTGAATTCGATTTAGGTGCATCTGGGTTATGGCCTTATATACACAAAGCGTAACAAAGTTTGTGAGTTTTCTAGTGTGATGAATTGAGAACACGGGAGCACGAATCCTATCGATAATCAGCATTCCGCGCCTTCAATTCGTGAGTAAATCCCCCTAAAAAAAACTTGTGGAAGCGATAGAGGCTGCCGTTTTAATCATGTTTTTTTTTTTTTTTTTTTTTTTAAATTTGGTGTGAAGCATTCGGCCCACAAGGCGACAAACCCCATCGATATTCAGCGTTCGTGACTTTCCGTTCTTGTGTTACCAAACTTGTCCAAAAACTTTGTGAATGCGTTATAGGCTACAGGTTCATATTCGATGTGAGGTATTTGGACAATGAGAGGGTGAGCCCTATCGATTTTCCCAATTCCCTGTAGATCTCTTTCAAAATCTAGTTGTTTCGTGTATGGCGACCGCTTGTTTGGTTATAAAAGCCTTTGTTTTGGTCACGACTAATTGGTCAAGATTTCAGAATGTTTATTCTAACATAGTAGAGCTGATAAAGGTGATGGAAGAAGCTAAATTTAGTCTATCAAATTATGTGTGGGAAATCGTGAAATTTTGTCGGAACCCAAGGTGTGGGAGGGGATACCCATAAAATAAACATTGCATCGCCAATAAAATTCCTAAAATAGGCCCCGAAATCGCCTGATAAATATATTGAAGTGCAGAATATCAGAGCTAATTAAAACTATATGTATCGGTGTAAAACAAACTGAAAATAAACAAGATTTGATAAAAAGGTTGAGGAGTGCAACTGCGATTAAGAAAGGAGTAATCCCTAAAACTAATGGTGATAAATGGTACGAGACCAAGGAAAGGCCTGAAAAGTGAATACCCTCGAATTATAAACAATCGAATACAAAGTCCGTGCTCGAAATCATCGATAACAGAATACTGAGTGCTACAGCAAAATCAATGTACTCGGTGTCAAACCAAACTTTTTTATTAACACAAGTATTATTTCGTTCATAAAAAAAAATATTATAGGAGATTGTGTTAAGATTTATTCAGCACAATAAACTTAATGTGAACATCTCGGCATTGTGAACCGCTGAATCTCGAGCCACGAATCCCAGGTATACATGAAAAAAAACATTTGCTACTATAGTTCAGTGTAAATTGTCAATGAATAAACCCCATACATAATACTATATGTTCCGATAAACAGTGAATAATAATAAAGTACATGTATGGTTGTCCGGTTAGACCTATTTCATAAGGGCAACTTTAAGTTTGGTCAAAGGTCACGAGATGTAAAGCCTAACCCTAACCCTGGACCTAGCCCTAACGTTTACCCTAGCCCTAACCTACAATCTTGCCAATAATCACGTGCCCTAACCTTATTTACATCTCAGCGACCTTGACGAAATCTTGAGTTGGCCTAAATGAAATAGATCTAGTCATGGTTGCCCCGTGTACAGTTAAAGGGCGTATACCTCTATTCTTTAGAACTATGAAATAGACGAAAATGGATCTAAAATTAATGCTAATATAATATGAATGTATATAATTATAAAGTGATTTACATTAATTTTAAACAAATGATAATTTCTAATCTACTGCGTTCGATGGAATACGCGAACAGTCAAAATTGATAGGTTTTTTTTTATTATTATTATTATTTTGTCATTTACATTTATTTCCTCACTGTCGTCTGGGATATGTTTTTCTTTGTTCATTACAAATTGCGCCCGAAACTATTTCGTCCATAGCGTACACGATGTCGTCGTGTACCTATTTTAGAATGTTAATTGGGTCTTAAATATTGGATTTGGTCCCATATTTTCACGGTAAGATAACACCATCGATATTGATTGAAATGGAACAATATTGAATTTTCATTTGTGTTTTTAATGTCGAATATTGTGGACAATATTGAGTTAGAGGTTTAGCTCCTTTAACTTGTAAAATATGGGGGGGGGGTGCAAAAGATTAAACGCGTGCGTTTTGGATCATAGTCTTTCATCGAGTCAAATGGCGGGGTTTCTATGTCCGACTTGCACATGACAAGGAGTAAGATCGCCTACACAACCTTGTGTGTTTTCTCCGGATTCTCTGCCCCCGCTAATATTAAGACCCCGACGCATAATCCAATTACTGAAGTAAACTCGCCTGTAGATCTGTGTGGGTTTACTCGGAATCCTCCCACGGCTGATAAAGACCAGTACGCGTAAGCGAATTATTGAAATAAAATTAAACATATTAGTCCGTGAATGACGTTAAACCCCATTCTCTCTCTCCCTGTTTTACTTGTGAAATAGGTCTTCGTATATTTCACTACTACTGCATATATCTGTTTAGAATAGGTTGGTTGTCATGAAAGCTATTTTATTTAATATTGTGAATCAAATTCTGATCAAGTGAGTTTTTGTTATATTGGAATATTATACGAGGGCTGTACTGGTTGACTTGTGTGTGAGATTTAACTTATCATAAAACAATGATTGCAAGGAAAGGCTTAATCGTATTACAAGGATAAATAGACATTGGTGATGTCATACGGCAGGCTACTTGACAACGTACAATAATTGTTAGCGGAATTAAGGGGATGTATTCACTAACATCCATACATCCGTGATAGACCCATTGAACAATTAATAAACCACCAAGTACGGAAACTGTACCAATTTTGAATGGACAATCATAATTTTCACATATGAAAATTAGGATATCTACCCAATTTACTAGATATTTGTCACGAACTTTATCCCATATAAAAGGGCATCAGTTTTTCGGTTTTAGTATGAACAAAATTTTGAGCATACAAAGATGAATGTTATGATCGTTGTGTTGGTTGCTTCCATTGCAGGTTAGTTTGTACACTAATTTCTTAAAATCTGTGTAAATTAATTTCATTTAAATTTAAAGCGGTTCGCTCATTTCTATAAAAAGGAAATGAAGACGTGCATATGCCATATAATTTGCTATGAGAGAAATTTTGCCCGAACAGTAGCGAGAAAGAGAGAGAGAGAGAGAGAGATAGAGAGAGAAAGAAATGGGTTTAACGTCCACTCGACACAAACTAAGTTATTTCGGGACTAACACATGGTTTAATTTTATTTCAATATTTCGCTTGCACGTACAGATCTTTAGCAGTGGGAGGAAACTGGAGGACCCGGAGAAAACCCACGAGGTTGGATCGGCGACCCTACTCCTTATCACCTACAGCCGGGGAATTGAAACCCCGCCAGCTGACTCAATGACAGACCTTATGATACAGCGCACGTGCTACCCCCCCCCCCCCCCGCCCCGAACAGTAGCACTGCGGCACTACTGCCTACTCTTATCAAAATCCAACTGCCAGGGATTCTTTTAAGTGCACACTATTGTGAACACGGGACCCCCATTTCTGTCCCATCCGAATGACGATACATTGTCCATTGCCAGGTCCTCTGTAGTGCATCACTGAAAAGGGGTGGGGGCACGCCCGAATATACCAATGAACCTTCTCGGCCAACACCTGGATCGAAAACAGGACCCCGACTTAGCGAGTCAACGTCTTAATCACACAATATACGACTGAAGTAAACTTGGAGTTCAAATAGCCAAGGCTTGTTTTCAAAATGACGTATGTTAATACATTGTTTATTTACTTATTTACTTTATTTTTGTTTTTCAGCATTGGCGTCTGCCAAAGAGGCATGTCCTGTTAGGGGCTGTCAACTAGGGCTGTGTTTTAATGGTCGAGTTAATGACGAAAATGGCTGTCCTACTTGCGACTGTATGTATTTATTAATTCAAGCAAACTACAACTAACAAGATCGCCAATACACTAAATGTTATATATTTTTGAAAAATTTAAAGGGAAACTCTACATAAAGATACACCATTCTGTAAAGGCTAAATCTGCCTATTGCAGGTCTTTTTCCGGCCTCAAATGTTATATAAATTATTATGTAGACATTTATTCGCAACCAAATCAATTATCTTGACCATCGGTTGGCTTAGATATTGAGTCAGATAGAACCATCGCGTCATTTAATATTTTGTCGTTAAAATAGATAATCGAGACTTTGTTTGTTACCGTAGCAATTGGACAATCGAGACTAACTTGTCAAGAATTTAAACACTTATTACTTCGCTTAGAATAAAGTGAGAGAGTGAGAAATGGAGTTTAACGTCCACTCGACACAAACTAGGTCATTTCGGGACTAACATATGGTTTAATTGTATTTCAATAATTCGCTTGCGCGTAGGTGTCTTTAGCAGTGGAAGGAAACCGGAGGACCCAGAGAAAACCCACGAGCTTGGATCAGAATAAAGTATTTTGATTAAACATACATTATGTAAGAGCTAAATCTGCCTATTACAGGTCTTACTTTAGGCATAAAATGTTATCTAAATTATTAATTAGACATTAATTAACCTATCCAGACCATAATCAACTCTAGATGACATCGCTAGCCCGCGATCTTTAGTGGATTATGAGCCAATTTACTGCATAACTTTCCTTCACGATTTAACGATTAAATGGATAATCGAGACTATGCTGTTTATCGTACTGACTTTAGTAATGATGATCGAGGCTAGGCGGAAATTTCAATCGCTTAGTTCTCGGTCCATAGTGGATCAATTTGAATGAAATTTTCAGCAAACTGCCTTTAAATTATCTAGTTTTTAACTATTATAGTGAGAAATGTCAAATCGTTATCGAATCTCCCATAATGTATCTTTAATATTCATTTTGCATTATCTATTTTTGAACTATTATAGCAAAAACTCTCAGCTCTTTATTTAAATCTTATATAATCTTAAACCAATATGATTTAATTTCCATGCGTGACGTCCAGATATTTCAGGAGATTCGGCCATTTTTGGTGGGTGGGATGTGGAACTAAGTGGGCACCTAACTGTGTCGATACGTTTCTGCCTAAATAAACCAATATCTAATATTTGTGTCACACATGAATCCTTAATTAACTAGAACTTTTCATTTACTAATTATTATTTGATTATGTGACTTCTGCATATTTCAGAAGATGGCGCATCTTTTAGGTGGGGAGGGGGGGGGTGGAGGCCTTAGAACTGTACGTTTCTTGCCTAAATGATATATATGTAATATTTTTGTCACACGTGACTGACAAAAAAAAAATGATTTTTTTTTTTAAAATGACAGGTTGTCCTGCAACGCAGATTTGTAGTAATTATTGTCCCTTTGGTAGACATATAGGTTCCAACGGTTGTCGTACTTGTGATTGTAAAGGTAAGACAAATTGTTTCTTGCAAAAAAACATTCGTCTGTATAGATAATTATACTATATTATTCAAATTAAGAATATCTCTTCAACTGTTTCACATTTCAAACAGCAAATTCCATATTATAATACACATTGACGTGAAATTTTAAATATAACCATATTGTTCATCATAAGAGTTTATTGATACCAAATATAGTTTCAATATCGATCAACATAAATAATTTGATTATTTAATACCGATTACTCTTATTTCCATTTCCAACTGTCAGGGGCACTTTAACTTGCTGAAAATGGTTTACCATCCGAAGGACTAGACACTACATGACAAGACCATAATCAACGCTCGATGCGATTTTAAGTAGATTAGAACGGCTCAGCCAATTAATGATTTAATTTAAAAATGGAGAAGCGAGGTTAACACTTGAATGACCAGTACGGTGGTTACGATCAATGTACACATTTGGTCAAAACTACAACTGTTGATAACTTCGCTCAAAATAAAGTAATTTGACTGAAACTTTCAACATATTCATTTTGCATTATCTATTTTTGAAATATCATAGCGAAAACAGCCTGCTCTTTAGCTAAATCTTACATAATTCCACTTTAATTAGGTACTTGGGTGACTGAGACTACTGTTTAGTGAGTCATCGCGTCATCGGCCCACACACAAAATAACATTGTTGTAGTGTAATCTCACGTTATTTCAAGCAAATGGCAACCAACCTTTTCGATTAGAGGTTTTAGCTGATGATCCCCGTAGTGGGTGAAAGCGCTAGCTAAGATGAAATTAGTTTTTTCTTTCTAAAAATCTCACTTTTCTATATAGGCCTACTTTTACCTGAGAGTAGAATATATATATATATATATCTTTTTATTTTGTTTTTGAAACTTCTACATAAAACTTTTTAAAACGTAGAGATCGTCTTACAAAATTCAGTATCCTGTAGTTTATTTGGGTTTTTTTTGTGTTTTTTTAATTAACAAATTCATATTTCAGGATTTGGTTCTGGACAGGTCGCGTGTCCTTTAAGACACTGTCAATTAGATTTATGTCCATTTGGTAGAGTTAAGGATGAAAATAACTGTACTACTTGCGAATGTAAGTATTTGTTTAGATCTGGCCCCAAGATACAAAGTGTAATACATTTTCTTTTTGCACAAGCCTCAACTGGACCACAAGCAAGCTAGCTCTCATCCTGTTGTTTTTATTATTCTTCTCGGGGGCGATGCTCTTCGAAGAAAGCATAAGGCAAGGCCGTTTCATGTACAGTCGGCACGAAACTTGGCATGTTTGGGTTTTTTAACAGTCGCGCATCGATTTTTGATGACAGGGATGGCGTCATGCTTGCTGTCTGATCCATAGTACGCCCGTGCTTGTAAACTGTCGACGATTTCAAAATGTAGAGATACTGTTATAAAATACAAGATTTTCTAGGAAGTGGCGCATTTTGGGTCTAAGTGAGCACCCAATTGTGCCGCTACGTTTCCTACCTAAATAAACCAATATCTAATTGTGTTACGCATGACCCAAAAAATGATTTTACTTTTAAAATCACAGGTTGTGAAGATTCGCAATGTAGAAATTATTGTGAAAATGGTAGAGAGATTGGATCTGACGGTTGTCCTTCTTGTCAGTGTAAAGGTAAGACAAATCATTTCTTAATATAAGAGGAGTGGATGGCCGAATGGTTAGCACGTGCGCGCTGTATCATTGCAATCAAGTGATACGGAATTCAGCCATGTCACAGTACTGCCAGTCTCAACAGCTGTGGTAGTGTGAGTAGAATCGTGACGTATTCAAGTAACAAATTTTCAGCTGTCATGTTTGGTTGAAATATTTTCAATGCAGTCGGTACATGCGTTGCACTCCGAAATTCTCCTTTTCCCTCGATTGACACTTTTTTGGGAATTGAGAGAATTTAATTCCGGAACGTTCAATCGAGTATCCCCAATGAGTCAACTGGCGTGGTTTCGATTCCACGGTTGTACGTGATAAGAAGTAGGGTCGCCTGTCCAACCTCGTGGGTTTTCTCCGGGTCCTCCGCTTCCACCCCCCTCCCCACTGCTAAAGACCCTACGCGCAAGCGAATTATTGAAATGAAATTCAACCATGTGTTACTCCCGAAATGACCTAGTTTGTGTCGAGTGGACGTTACCCCCCCCTCTCTCTCTCTCTCTCTCTCGCTCTCTCTCTCTCTCTCTTTTATAGATAATTATACTATAGTATTTAAATCAAGTATAACTCTTCAGATTTTTCACGCTTCAAAACATATCAGTAGATTTCATATTATAATTGATATCGACGCTTCTTAGAGAAGTTTTAAGCTTTGTAGTATAATCTCACGTAATTTCTAGCAAATGACAACCAACCAATTCGATTAGATCAGACCATGTGCGGAGATACTAAGTGCTATATAGTTATTTATTTGTTGAAACTTCTACTTAAAACTTTTAAGTGCAGATACACTTACAAAATTCAATAATCCTTTGTGTTTTTTGTTTGGTTTTTTTTTAATTTATCAAATTTATATTCCAGAGTGTCCTCTAAGGGCATGTCAATTACAGTTATGTCCACTCGGCCGAGTTAAGGATGAAAACAACTGTTCTACTTGTGAATGTAAGTATCTGTTTAGATCAAATAAGAGCTATACATTTTTGGACCAGGAACTGGGTCCCAAGCGCTACTCATATTGTTGTTCTTCTTCTTCTTGGGGTGACCCTCTCCGTAAAAGCGTAAGACTCCTCCAATTTAAGTATGGTCGACATGGAGCTTGACATGTTTGTTCTTTGGATAATTGCACATCGAATGGAGATGACGTCATGCTCGGTTCCTTATCCACGGTACGTTTATACGTGTTGAAGTAAATTGTGGACAGTTGAAACTTCTGATTAAGGCTTTTAAAATGTAGAGATACGACGCTTACAAAATTTCAATTTATTTTGGGTTGGTGGCTAAGCATTCTGCACACAGAGAACTATATCCTTTGAGAATGGTCGCCATGTTGAAAAATTAGTGTACTATTTTATGTACTAATCCGTTTTACTCATTATACAAAGGAAAGCAGAAAAAATACTTCACAAAATTCTCAAAGAATGCTTAGTGGTTTCAACTAAATTCGTCGATGTCGGTCAACTAGCTTCGTGTCTGTCCTGAAGCGGGGCTAATTTTAGCCAGACATTTATGTTACATATGATTCAAAAAATTATTTTAATTTTAAAATGACAGGCTGTGAAGAGTCGCGATGTAAAAATAATTGTCCAAATGGTAGAGAGATTGGATCTAACGGTTGTCCTTCTTGTCAGTGTAAAGGTAAGACAAATCATTTCTTAAAGGGCCAATCCCGATAATATTTTGGAGAATAAAACTGCTTAATTTTGTGTTAAAATCCCTAAAAATCCTCTACCCGAAGACCGAGCAATTAACCTTTCGTTATCAAGTACAGCACATGGGCCATTTACTGTATAGACCTCTAAAGGAACGGGAATATAATTCTCTAGCTTCGTCACGTTTCAAACAGTAACATTATGATCTACGCTTGGTAATCATTATGATCGACGCTTGGAGGTTCCAAACAAGATGAACACAGGAAATGATAAATAGAGTTTGAATACGCGACAATGAATATTTGAACTTGAATATTTAATATCACAAAACCATTAAATATAATGGATTAATAAGTCAATTGAACATTAGACTAGATGGTCAGGGATTTTATGCACATGGCAGGACGTATTTATTGTTCACATAGATAAGAGACAGTGTTTTATTGTAGGCCTATCAATATCAATTGTCTGAATTATGTTATTATATGATTAATATCAATGAAATATACACAAATTACTGTGTGGATCATGTACAGAAAATCAGATGTTTTATGTATTGTACTTTGCGGAAGGAGTGCGGAAAAGTAACATTTGTGCTTGACTTTTGTGGTAAAATATATTTTCTAAATATTCAGAATTACTGAATATAAAATACTTCATGTTTTCTTATCTGTTCGATTGTTTTCGCTACAAACAACATTTGAGATTGGGTCCACGCCATGTTTTAAGTTTACTAATGACCTAAAATCTATTCAATTATTATTTTATGTTTCAGATTAAAACACGCAACAATGTTTTCTTTGATTATAAAATTTGATTAACTAAATAAACTGCATATATTGCTTTATTTTTGGGTTTTTGGTTTGTTGGTTGTTTGTTCATTGTTTTTATGGTTTTGCGATTTGCTTTTATTTTGGTAACGAGGAAGGGTTTGGCAGGGAAATACTCGCAGTCCATCTATATTGGGTAGTTGAAATCTAAATATACAATTACATATTTAGATATATTCTGACATGCTGCTTAGGTTCTACAATCAACACTGGAAGGTTATGATCATTAATTTTGATCGTGATTTACTGATAATCTAAGAGTGAATTCAAATGGAGCGGAATTTATGCTATATTCAATTCCTGTCTAAAGGAAATGAAATTTAATGAGCTGGGGTTTAGCGTCCAATTGTTCCGCATCGACGAGGGAAATTTTGTCCTAACAGTGGCATTACTGTCTTCTCTTGTTTTGATTCCCATTAGACAACGGTTATATTAGGTGCACGCCAATGTGTACACGGGGCCTCTGTTTTCCGCCTCATTCGACCGAAAAGACGCTATTCCTTGGCAGGCCTTCGGTCCTGCTACACTGACATGGGTAAATACGCCGAGATCGAATCCGCGATCGTACCTGGGACCCCCTGGTTAGCGAACAAGCGCCTAAATGGGATTTTTTCTGATTTGCATAAAAGTCAGAAGACGTTAAAGGATCAAACCCACTCAGAAAAACACAAGACAATTTATATGGAAAACTATTATTGGTTTGTACACATACATCACGACATTTTGACATGTGTTCTCTTATCGTTTTTTAATGTGTTAGTAGCGCCATATTGGGTTAAAGTGTGTGTTAAACAACAGTACTTAATAGGCTTAATAGCTGAAACAAATGGGAACCAACCATGAGAAATACTCGAAGGTCCTACTCAGCCCACACCGGGCGTCGATCATGGGAAATTCTAGTTCTCGTGTCCCTAGCGCATAATGACCGTGGCCACGTTACTATATCCACATACAATTCAAATTAATAGAATCTTATAAACCAAATGAATGGCTTGAAATATTTTACCACTCTAAACACAGAAATTAATTGGGGTTGGGCGAATGGTCTAACGCGTGCGCTTAGATCATAAGATCTGTAATTGAGTCATGTACAATTCCCAGCTTGCACAAAGAGTGGGGTCACATATCTCCAACCTCGTGGTACCTTAGAACCCCCCCCCCCTCCACTGCTAAACACCCGTACGTGTAAAAACATTGAGTCATGCGGTATTCGGTAGTCTCTCTCTCTCTCTCTCTCTCTCTCTCTCTCTATCTCTCTCTCTCTTAATAAAGATTTCGAAAAAGGGATCATTTGAATCACGTATGGTATAGACAGTGATTAGTTCAATCTGGTGGGTTTATCTAATTAAGTATGGACTAACTGCTATTAATTACATAATCCCTTTATCTCATTAATAATAGATTAGTTTTAGCAACCCGATAGATTCTGTATGTTTACATGGAGACCGGTGACATGTTGTATATGTATATAAGTCAACACTGTACCTATCATTAATATTCACTTTCTGTCATCTACTTCTACAGTTGTCTTCTTCACTGTTAACCCTTTATCCTTACAACATGAGAGAAATCGTTCACATGCAAACTGGCCAATGTGGCAACCAGATCGGAGCCAAGGTAAGATTAAATAATTCCTAATACGAAGAATTGTCAAGTGAGCATAGAAATCATCATTTGAATTTCACGGTTAAAAGAAAAATTGTGTCGGTTGTTCTAGAAAAGTCAGCATAGTCTACCCGGTGCATGAAAAAAGCAAATGATGTAACAGTGTTATTTATACAGTGACAGTAGTATCAGTTGTTCTATAAAAGTCAGTATACCCTTACTGGTATTCCACACATGTCACCTCTAATCTATTATTATACATAATATTCTACATTAAAGACACGGAATAGAATCAAATATTGGTCTATTTCAGTCAATGGCGATGTTGTTATCTTGTCGTAGATCCTGATATGCAATATTTAAGTCGCAATGAACTTTTTAAAACAGTTCTCTACGTCACGTTCTTTATGGTCTTGTAATAAAAGAACTTGGTGAAAAAATGAAAACATATCCCACAAACAAGAAAAAAGTGATAAACTTGTAGACCAGATTAATCAAGCGTAGGCGACCACCATTCAAGTTGGGATGTTTGCGTATTTAACCGAACATAATTGATTAGAAATTACCGTACATATTTAAAAAAAATTAATTTAAATCTGTTTATATAAATTCATAGTACACTAATGCGTGCCTTTTGACCCATACTCGTCTATTTTAAGGTTCCATACAAAAGCACTATGCGCCCTGTAACATTGGTGTTTATACAGTGACAAAAGATTTTAAACATATATTTTCCTCTTTTCAGTTCTGGGAAGTAATCTCTGATGAACATGGTATTGACCCAACAGGAACATACCACGGTGATTCTGATCTTCAATTGGAGAGAATTAACGTTTATTATAATGAAGCTACAGGAGGAAAATATGTACCCAGGGCTGTTCTCGTCGATTTGGAACCTGGTACCATGGATTCTGTACGATCAGGACCATTTGGTCAGATATTCCGCCCAGATAATTTTGTCTTCGGTCAAAGTGGTGCCGGTAACAACTGGGCCAAAGGTCATTATACCGAGGGAGCTGAATTGGTCGACTCCGTCCTAGATGTGGTTCGCAAAGAAGCTGAAAGCTGTGATTGTCTACAGGGTTTCCAACTGACCCATTCTTTGGGTGGTGGAACCGGATCTGGTATGGGAACTCTCCTCATCAGTAAAATCCGTGAAGAATATCCAGATAGAATTATGAACACCTTCTCCGTCTGTCCATCACCTAAGGTAAGAATATCTTTAATTTCACATCCTTTACAACTTCATGTTTCATTGAAGGTAAGAAGATTGGTTCATTTCTAAACATTTTAGTGAAATGTATTAAAATGCAAAAGGTACAAGATAAATTTGAGAAATATCACTGTGTATCAGATCAGTTGTTGAATGTGATATAATATAAAATATAATTCGAACATGTGAAAGTTTTAGTGAAAGGCATTAAAATGTAAGAATACCATTCCTATTTGAGAAACATTAAGATCAGTTTTTGTTTTATTCTGTAATTTCAGGTATCAGATACAGTTGTTGAACCATACAACGCTACACTCTCTGTTCATCAACTAGTAGAAAATACAGATGAGACCTACTGTATTGACAATGAGGCTCTCTATGATATCTGTTTCCGAACCTTGAAACTGACTACACCCACTTACGGTGACCTCAATCATCTTGTATCAGCTACCATGTCTGGAGTGACAACCTGTCTACGATTCCCTGGTCAACTGAATGCTGATCTCCGTAAACTGGCTGTCAACATGGTACCATTCCCACGTCTACATTTCTTTATGCCAGGTTTCGCTCCACTCACTTCTCGTGGTTCCCAACAGTACCGAGCTCTAACTGTCCCAGAACTCACACAACAGATGTTTGATGCCAAGAACATGATGGCTGCCTGTGATCCTCGTCATGGTCGTTACCTAACAGTAGCCACCATGTTCAGAGGTCGTATGTCCATGAAGGAGGTCGATGAACAGATGCTGAACGTTCAGAATAAAAACAGCAGTTACTTTGTTGAATGGATTCCCAACAATGTCAAAACAGCTGTCTGTGATATTCCACCAAGAGGTCTGAAGATGTCAGGAACATTTATTGGTAACAGTACCGCCATCCAGGAACTGTTTAAGAGAATATCTGAACAATTTACAGCCATGTTCAGAAGGAAAGCTTTTCTCCATTGGTATACTGGTGAAGGTATGGATGAGATGGAATTTACAGAAGCTGAATCTAACATGAATGATCTGGTATCTGAATATCAACAATACCAGGATGCTACAGCTGAAGAAGAAGGAGAATTTGATGAAGAAGAAGGCGAAGGAGAAGAAGCGTAGATACAATATCTAATACAAATCTATTAATTTATTATTAATCATTTTATTGTTATTATTCTATTCTTATTTACAATCTTGTAAAATATTGAATAAATGGTTGTTGATACTAAATTGTTGGATATATTTTCTACATAGAATTTTCACAAATATTGTTTGGTCTTTTGGCTTCTATACACATACGTAGATGGATCAGGTGTTCCAGAAAGATTCAAAGAAAAGACTACTCGCGATGGAGTAGAGGGTGGTGTTACGATATGTTATGGCAAACGATGTATAGAGCACTGGTGTTTGGGACAGGGTGGTGGGGTATTTATTGAATATAGCTAAATTAATGAACATGGAAATAGTTTTGGGTCTTTTACCAGGGATTGGTAAATTTTTATGATTAAATGTGGGTGGTTCGGGGGTGGAGACCATGCATGCATAATGGAGGGGGTGATAATATGTACACTTTATATTCTGAAGAAGCTTTGCATTCATATATCCTGTCAGATTTGGGGTCCAATTTTGATACCTGCAAAGGAAATTAATGGTGGTCTGTATCTACACAGTCGCTCTCTCTTTCCCTGTCCCCCTTTCGCATGGCCATTTATGTTGATTAATTGGACTAGAGTGGAAGAATAGAGTTAACATTTTCTGTCAGGTTTTGGTAAATATTCATGATTTAGAGCCGGAAGAATTACAGAGTTAATTGGCTGGATGTACGCCGGATAGTAGCATGTTTTTTATTACGCTACTTCACTTATCTGGAGTTATCTCCCTTACATTAAATGTTTTCTCGCAAGACACCAATGTGCTGAATTGTGAGTTCGGAATCTTAAGAATTGACAGAATTGCTGCCAACCAAGTGATAATTCTAACTAGCCAAACATGTAACAATTAAATGGGGTTTAACGTCCTATTTGGCTGCACGAACCGGGATAATAAAGATGGTTGGCGAACAGGGGCGTGATGACCCATGGTTTTGCTTGAGGAACAAGATCCTGTCCCCCCCCCCCCAAAAAAAAACCCCACTATATATATGAGTGTACGAGGGCGGGACGGGGGGGGGGGCGGGGTCCCTTGCAGTGCCGTCGGGTAATATGTGGTTGTGTGGAACATG